ATTTAGGGACATGAGTGGCCTGATTCTCAAAACTGTTAAGCACCGAGCAAGTCCCACTAACCTCCATGGCAGCTATTGGGTGCTCAGCAACTTTGGAAATCAGGCTAGTTATTTAGGTGTCCAAATATGGATGTAGGGGACTAATTTGGGGACCTATTTTTGTTAAGCCTGGGCTTCTTTTAAGCGTATTATTTATAAAGACCCTGCGTTATATATCAAGACATTGTTTGATCATTGCCAATCTGAAACGTAAAACATACGATCCAAAGTTTTCAGATTTGAGCTTTTTAACTTTAGGCCGTTAAATCCATATGAAAGTTGCCTAATATTAGGCAACCAAGTTTAAATATTTTAGCTCTGATATTTATCAAAACTAAGCATGATATACATTTAATCAATGGATTTTTAATTACATTAACATCCAAAAGCTTTTGTACAACAGAACCATCCTGCTTGAGATGAGTTATGAGTGCTATGTTCTGAGAACAAGATGATAGGCTCTGATGGGCTGTAACTGGCCCTTTGAGGGCCCCTACCACACCCCAACCCAGGAAAAGATCAGTGAAGTTGGGTACTCCAGCCCTGCCTAGAGAGACTGCATAGAAGCAGCCAATCATAGCCCAATAGACTCAGATAAAAGGAGGTGTAGAGGCTGTGCATGTCAGTCTTTGGCTGGGAGCAGAGAGGTGAGGAAGGGGGCTCGGCTTGGACCTGACTTGACCAGACCAGAAGTGTGTGATGGGCTGATTTACTGGCCCTGGGAATGAGAGAACCTAAGATCTGTAACCTTAAGTTAGTGGGTAAAAGGGATGGGGCTTTGTGGGAAAAGGCCCAGGGAATAGCAGCAGTGAACTGGAGGCAATGGTATGTGGCTGCTGTATATAGGGTCTGTGGGTTGGGACTTGGAGTAGATGGGCCTGAGTTCCCCCACTGGCAGTAGTGAAGTAGCCTAAGTGGGTCCTTTAGAAGTCTGATCAGAGAGCTGGAGTTAAAGGCGCCCAGGAGGGGTTGAAGAGAGAAGGCACCTTCAGGAAGGAGGGGCTGAGACTAGCTTAAGCTAGGGTTTGAAAGACTTTTGTTTTGGACTTCAATAGCCTGCAAGGGGTTCATCTGTTTGACTGTGTGATGTAGCCAGAGGGCCGAGCCACTGAAGATGTGCCTAGCAAGGTAAGCAACCTACAGAGGACACCAGCAGCAAGTGAAAAAAGATTGCAGCATCACATCCCAGCAACAAGAGGCACTGAGGAAGTGAGCACTCCCTGTCACAATGGCAAGAATCAAACTGGCATCATATACTCTTCCACCTGTGTTCAGGGCATGGAACTGCCCAATACGGCATAAGCTTCTCCACATTTCGCTGCTAAAAACATTACCCTTAACATAGAGCTGGGTCCTACTCCCATTAAAGTCAATGGCAAAACTCCTATTGATTTCGAGGGTGCAGGATGAGGGCCTCAGTGCATTAACCACGTTACTTGGTTCAGATACAAATTTGCCTTCAGACAGAGGCATGGTAGTGACAACTCTGATGACTATTAACACATGCTAAAATAGCATTTCTCAGTTGAAACAATTTTGTCATAAGAGGGGTTTACTGTAAAACAAAGAGCTTATCAGGTTTTTACACAAATATGAAAATGGTTAAATCATTTGTATTCCTAGTAATATCGGTACCCTATAAAGGACTTCTATATATTTTTAAATAAAATTGTGTGTGTGATTTAAGCAGTTAAGGCACACTAGAAACCATACAATTGTAATATTATCTGATGCACAGAGAACATGCTCAGTAGGTATGCTTGTATTACCACTGAGGGGGTTACTTGCTAGAGACTAGACCTCGAGGTGTATTTTCAGACTGAATACTTCAAGTTTCAAATATCGGTGATCTACATCTTCAAGCTTCATGTATGAATGAGAAATGGGAAATCTTTTTGGATTAATTAAAATGAATCATAAGTGACACGTGTGATGCAAACCTTGGTACAATCATCAAACATCTGTTTGTAATTTTGGCACTAGCAATATAAAAATGAATTTGTAAATGTTTCCTATGCTTTTCTTTTAAACAGAGAAATGTACAGTAACATCAAAAGTCTGTTTCATATATATTATGTATAAACATATATATAATTCCCACCCTTAAAACACTAAACTTATTAAACACAATGTATAGTGTATGTTACCTACATTTTTCTACTGCAGCAACTGATAAAAGCCTAAAGGGGTGGGGAGAAGCAGTGGGGAGGAAGCAGGGATTTTTGTTGAATCCTCTGTCTGTGTGCATGTGCAGAGAGCAGCACAGAGCACTTAGAAGTTCCCAGAACACCTAGAGGAGTGGTTGTTACAAGGCATGCTGAATAGTTGTCTCTGGGGCTGTGCAGAAGGTTTCCATTAAGGGCAAGCAAACTACCAAGATCCACACGTTCATGGTCACACTCAGCCAACTGGAGCGCAGTGGGGAAAAGGCTATAAATAGTGGAAGTTGGAGACAGCACTATGGGCTCAATGCAGCCCATATAATGAATAATGCAGGACTGAGCTTGTACCACTTTGGAGCCAGACTCCCTATCTCTCTGGATCCTGAGGAAGCAGCCAACTACTGACTCCAGGATTGGAATTGCTGAAGAGGTTCTAAGGAGTTTGAAGGAGAACTGTTCAAGTCAATAGGAGTCTTTCTATTGTCTTCAATCGGCCTTGATCAGATCTGTAAACAGGGAAATTTCTATCTCATGACTGAACCACAGGGAATTGTAATAAAGAGATAAAAGGCAAATACCATGGCCAAAGGCAATCCCAGCAGCAAAGGACAGGGTCAGCTCCTTGCTTCACTTACTTAATTACTGCTGCTCCAGGACACAGGCTGGTGGTCTTGTACAAGAATGCTGAGGGAGATTGTATGATTGTGTAATTAAAGCCCAAATTGTAATGCACATGTAACAGGTTCAACCTTCACGTTATTTCATTTTTAAATTGTTCAGCACTGAGAATGTACTCAGTGCTGTAGAACAATATTGTACTTGGCAGACACCGTTAGTCTGCCCCATCAGGTGTAATTTACAAGATCCGTAGGAGGTGGGTTCTCACAACCTACCTTAAAATATTCATAGTGAATGAGACAAAGAATCCTGTAAAGCCCTTGTGCGTTCTGTGTGCACTATACACAATGTGGTTTGAGGGCTTGATGCCACAAGGTGCTGGGGGGAGTGCCCTTAACTCCCATTGACTTAAATGGGGTCAAACCGGCAGGGTTAAGCCCTTCATGAGATAAGTACTCCATAGCACCCCTTGCTTCACACACAACACATATGTACATTCTTCACAATGCAACTAACCATACGTGGTGTGCTATGAAGCCTATCTCCTTCTCGCTGAGCACTGCTAATAAATAGTACCCAATTGTACTGCATATAGTACAACTCAGTCAAATCAAAATCCTATTTCACTACAACCACTCAGCCACTTTCCCGCAATATGTGTTATTTCCATGCAAGTTCTAACTTTCTACCGCAGCTGTTCTATTTTCTATTTTCATGTCACTAATTTGTGACCATTAGGAAGATTTTGTAGGTAGGTTTATCTACCACTAATTACTTTCTTTCTTGAACTGGTCTCAAAGGTTGCATAATACATTTCACCCATGCTCTCCCACCATTACATTTATACACACATGTAAACAGAGGAAATAATATACAGTTGTTTTCTAAAGATACCACAAATTTCTGGTGATGGTAAACGTTATCAAATGTGTTTGAGGCATGTCTTCCTGGACTGTGAGATCACTAGCATTCCTTTCCTACAACGCATCAGGGACCACCCTAGGCTTTGTGAGGTGCTGGAAAACAAAAGGTGTGTGATTTCCCATGGACACCTCAGTAATCTAAATGGATCATTTTCTGGGGGGAGGAATTAATAACTTGACAGGGGATCATGGCTCTTGTCTGTGGGGGTTGGTATAGATCAAACAACTTGTCTATGTGGGCCCCTATTTACATATGCACTTCTTATCACCATAGTGTCTGAGGACTCCACAAACACTCCTGAATTTATCCTCACAACACCTATGAGCTTTGAAAATATTAACTCTATTTTTAGCTCAGGAAACCAAGACACAGACATTAAGTGACTTGCCCAAGGACACGTAGCATCTTTGTGGTAAAGCCAGGGACTAAACCCAAGTCTACCCAAGGCTCAGGCCAGCACCTTGACCACAAGACCATCCTTCCTTTCTCTGTATAAAGGGCCTTCAATCTCATCTTTCCAGGGGTGTGGCAGGGTAGCAGACACAGAAGGAAGGGAAAGTCATTGATGTGACATATAACCTGCTGGTCCATGGCATGTTTCAAAAAACATATTGTATATAAAAGATCATATACATTGTATGTGTTATAAACTGATATGCTAGAAACGGGTTGAAGCAACAAAGTTAGCATGTAGGTTTTGAATGTTCAGGGTGTTTTCAGCCGAGATGTTGATTATGCTCATTATAAAGAAGGACCGTCATTATTTGCTTCAATTAGAGCCAGATCCAGATCTGGATTTCCAACATCCCAAAATTCAGGGTTATTGATATCTGAAGTCTGAGGTCAGAGCCTTCTCTGGTATATTAATGTCTTAATGCAAACTCGGTTGTTGCAATGTTGAGACCATATATTCAAAATAATAAATCGGCAGTGTGAGGGTTGCCAACCCTCCAGGATTGTCCTGGTATCACCAGGAATTAAAGATTAATCTTCAATTAAAGATTGTCATGTGATATGATGAAATCTCCAAGAATACGTCCAACCAAAATTGGCAACCCTAAGCAGTACAAATCATAAAGTTCTATTACAACTGTAACTGAGCAATATGGTACATGATGTATTTTATACTGTATATATTTAATAATATAAATTGCACTATTGCAAACAGAGATGGGCCTGAACCAAATCCCTGAATAAACTCTCTACAGCAAACTCTAGCAGAGGCCAAAATCCAAATACAGGGATGAATGTTGTGGTTCAGGTGTCGGTGTTACCAACACTCACAATACTATCACAACAGTCATCATTTAAGGCTCTTTTAAAATGTTGCTCTAGATTGTAGACAGCTGAGGAATTTGGGCTGAGCCACTTGTGATTCCCAGCTGTGGTCATCAGAGGCTGCTCTCCTGATTGAGTAGGTCTCTGCAGCAGCTGCTTGTATTTCCTGTGCAGGCAGCTCTGTCCTTTGAGAACATGCAGAGCCAGGAAGTGCCCTGGCAACAACACGGAGAGAATATGGAAGACTGCACCACTGAGCTAACCAGCACCTCCCCTCCCCTTAATGATGCAGTAAGTGGAGTCTGGAGGACCTGAGAGTTTGAGATGGGGAATGGAGCAAGGAGAAGGGGAATGGAATGCCTAACTTGGGGGAAATAGTTGAACGTGAGGAATTGCTTTTTTGGGGGTGGAAGTCTGCTTCATGATTTTTGAATTCTCAAACTATGCATTTCAAAAGGTACTGAAAATATGTTCTGTACTATGTGGCATTTGCAAATGGCAATAATTTATTAATTGCTTCCTGTGATACATGAAATAAGAAATTATTCTGAGGAATATCCAGAACTCCCTCCCATACTTGTCCTCTGTAAAAATAAAATGTCACTTGTCTGCTACTAAGTCACTTGTGCTATTGGGTAACATCTGCAGAGGTGCTGAAGTGACTTCACAGTCTAATTGTGTGATTATTATTATTATTATTTTTTTTTTAAGATTATCCATTGGCTTTGTTTTGTTTTACACCCAAAAAGCTGAAGTGCCCTTGAGAATATATTAGAGTGTTACAAGCAACTTCTTTGTAAAGATGACCTGCAAACCTTTTTCAAGTGTGTTCACTTTTCAGCTTATGAGACTTTTGGTCCATGAAGATCTACTTTGGCTTTATTTTTGCCCAAACCATTGTTTTCCGATTTGTCTTTTAAAATAAGAATAGAGACTCTGAGCCTCCCTATGGAAAAACATGTGCAACAGATTAAATGCCACCTTCTGCTAATGCAGTTGTAAATAGTATTATCTTCTTTTTTGTCATACTGCATTTACTTGTATGTTGCTACTTCCCAACACAGAGAATGACAAAGGTGAAACTGCATGTGCCACAGTCAAATATAAAGTTCTCAGGTATTGCAGTGATTAAAAACTGATACAGGCGCTTGCGCAGGCTCTGAATGAAGGGGTCTCCCCTTGAGTGCTAACCAACATGTATATTTAATTGTAATTACAGTAGTCACACTTCCAGTATTGCCAGCTGCAGTATTCAAGAGACATGAGTCAGGACCATGAGATTTGCTTAAAATTAAAAATCATAAGACTGCAAAAAAAAAAAGGTTTGAGTTATTTTTCTTGTCTTTTGATCCTGTAGGGTCTCACTTGGATCACGTTTTTCAAGTTTTCTCCAGAGCCAAGAGAGGTAGAAATTTACTTTACATGAGAATCTTAGATTTCATTAAATCATGTGTTTCCAGGAGCTGGGGCTTTAAGTGAAAAGTCAAATACCACAAGACTCATGTTAAATGTGCAAAAGCTGACGATACTTCATTTTGCCTGGTGGTAGCTAGTGATCTAAATCATCCACTCGGGAAACAGATATCTCAGGACTCCTGTAAGTAAGTAGGACAGTGTGCATTTTGAGTTTGACAACTGTTTATAGAGTTGATGTCATTTCTGAGAATATTCATTTGTTAAAGGTAAAAATACCCTTCTCACACGTATTTACATTAGTAGAGCATGAGCACTCCAGTGTTTGGGATGTGAGCACTGCCAAACTGAAATTAAAATTTGAATGAATAGCTGGGACAATATTTCCCAATCTTTTCTTAGCTCTTGTTTTAAGCATCTGGAAACAGATATTGTAAACTGTTTTGCAACTTTTACTACAGGCTCTGCCAGAGTCAGCATTATTATTTAGGGGCAGGCACGAAGAACAATTTTTATGTTCTTCTCTGCTTTCTACCAAACTGACTTTTGTCTGCTATGATCATGCTCCTCTGCACAGGACCAGTTTTATGGCGGGGGGAGGGGGTGTTGTATCATGTCATTGGTAGGGTTTTCAGGGGCTCCCAAACTTAACTTGGCCGTTGTTCATAAAATGGGAAGGATCCCTGGGGTATCACCAGCCCATTCTAATGCAGGAAAAATGGAAGCAAACTGCTGTGCTAGAATATTGGCATATTTACCAACACTTTCCTAAATGTCAAAAGACAGTTTTCCAAATAAAGTGGGGTTGTAGGTGGCCACTAGGAGCCTCCCCTTTTTTGCTGGAGGGTTTTGTGCATGTTGTTGGGCTATTTTTTTTTTAAGCTATTTAATGATAGATCTCCAGATTAGCTGTTATTTTCTCTGATATATATATATATATCAGAGAAGATGTTTAAAATAGCCATTGATGGGTCATTTCCCCAAGATGTGTTGTTCTCTGCTGCTGGAGGATCATCCTTACATTGGTATGATCCTCTTGGGACTCTGTAGCTACAGGGGTTCTGGGAAATGTAAGGAGCATAAATAAAATAAACTCAGTAACCAGAAAGTTGTTTCTTTTTCTTGGTTATTCCTATTTTCCATTTCCTTATCTCCTCTCCTTTCTTATCTCTGTCCTGTTTCATACATCTCCAGACCATTTTTTCTTTCTTTCTGTCAGGTTTCTTCTTTTAGTCTCCTTTCTCTCATCATCTTCCTTTGAAAAGCAACATCTCCTCTCCTTTCCTTTCCTAGTCACACCATTTTATATTACCCACCCCTTTCTCTCTCTTATGTGCTGTGATCAGTTGGCTTTGTCCCTTTTGCTGGCGACATTCTCATCTTTCTTTCTTTTATTGTCCCTCTGTGGCGCTACATCTTACCACTTATGAGCTTCAGCACTTTACAAACATTAACTGATTATGAATAATCATCACAACCCCCCCTAGAAGATAGATGAGTAGATCTGACTATGCCCATTTTATGGTGTGTGGGGGGGAACTAAGGCAGAAAAAGCTAAATGACTTGACCGAACTAATAAAGTTGGCATCACAGCTAACAAAGGAGTGCTCAGTCCTCTGCTTAGTATACTATCATGCTGCCTGTCATGCCCTTCCTTTTAGCCAGAGCTAATCCTCAAAGGAGCTAGTTTATCTGCAGGCAGCTGGGAGGAACTGGATGTGGCACAAATCCATGTAACACTCCTCCATGGCAGCTCTGTGAACTCACCGAAAGTTGTTCCAGAAATTGAGGGACTGAAAGTCATTAATTTCCAAGGCCTTAAAGTTCAGTCCTAGAATAGTGGGGGACCATGAATAAAATTTAACTTTTAGGGGAAAAATACTTTGCTAAGCTTTCTGCCCCAGTGTTTAATGTATATATTTTCAGCTATCATCACAATGACAATAGTCAAGCACATTTAATGTGAAAAGTGAGGTTATTCTTGACTCCCACAACTCAGAGAGTTGCAAAGGTTGGCTCTCGGATTGGCTGGTGGTAAGTGCTATAATACACACACATATATTTAGAAATTATATGGAAGCAGCCTGTAGCTATATAGCATGTAAATGCCAATGGTTCTCTTTCTGTTAAGAGCTTTCAGTTTTCACACTCCGTGTCTTTTGGTAAATTTCCCATTTTACTTATAGGCCATGGGGCTCTGCTTCTTATTGGAATGAAACTGACCGCATCCACTCATTAGAGTTCATTAGCAAATCAAAGCAACACAAACTGATTCAATCTAACAGTAAACAGTCAGCTACACAGTTTTCTCCCAGGTGCCTTCTCCATTCAGTGCATGCATATAGAATTCTGCCTCAGGCTCTAAAAGACTCAGGATTGGGCCTCTGTGATGTAGTTTCCCTGATTTGTCTTGGAATGAGACAATGATTTCCTTGTACTCCGGATTCTGTGTTTTAATTTCTTTCCTCTCTGTCTAGCCAATCAAGTCAGAACAACTCCATCTAATCTGGTCTCATTTTCTGTTGCATGTAGTGTGCTGACTGGACAAACCTTTAAATATGATGCAATTGGAGAGAGCTGCAATTTTGTCATTTCTTAACACTGTTTGCAAGGCCAAGCTCATCAAGCACAGAAAATGCTAAATTAAAAAAAATGGAGTGTAAAGTATTTATTGGTAAAACTGCCTAATCAGCCATTGTACTATTGGAGAACTTTGTTACAGAAAAAGGCAAAATCAGATGTAATGAAACACAGACAGCTGTTCTCTACTACCTGCTTACCCTCTTTTGAGCCACTTCCCCATGAACACTTGGAGGGCATGAGCATATCGGACCTCTGAATAAAGTAACTGACATTTAGAGCAACAGTGGGTCTAGAGAACTTTATTGCAGCCCAACCCACTTCTGACAGAAACATCACTACCCAACCCCAGGAGGGGGGACTGAAGCCTGAGCCTGCCGAAGCCTGGCCCACAGCCAAAGCTTGAACCCCACCACCCTGGGGGGACAGGAGGGTAAAACCAAAGCCCAAGGGCTTCATCCCCAGGCAGGAGGCCTGTAACCTGAGCCCCGCTGCCAGCTCAGGCTTTGGCTTTGGACCCAGGCAGTGCGGCTTGGACTTCAGTCCCAGACCCCAGCAAGTGTAACACCAGCTCTGGTGACCTCATTAAAATGGCATTGCAACCCACTTTGGGGTCCCAACCCACAGTTTGAGAACCCCTAGTCTAGAATAGTCTTTTCCTGGTTCTGCCGCAGCTGAAAGGCAGTGGAAGTAGCAGGCTCCCCTAAAGATCTTTTCTGGGAAACACCTAAATGGATACAGTGAGCCAGCAAATTGTCATCTAAATATCTGGGTTGGAACATCTTTGTTCAATCCGCTTTTGAAGATACTGGGAGTGGGGAGTTTTCCTTCAAAGGCAGTACTCATCTGGTGCTCAACCTTACGCAGTTTAAGTACCTTGCTGACCTAGGCTCTGTGTGAGTACCCAGTACTCACTAAAGACTTCATCTTGCATCATTGAAATCAATGGGTACTTTCCCATTGACTTCAGTGGGTCCAGAATAAGATTCTAAACTTTAAAAATCTCATCCTGGCTTGCATTGGGTTCGGTGTAAAAACTGAGATGGATGCTCTGAATATTGAGTAGCTTCTCTTTGACTATTTCAAAGCCTTTGGAGGACATTACGCAGTACAGTCTAGACACAGTCATGCTTCATATTGAGTACATATAGTTTATAAAGGGTTAATAAATGATTAATAGATGCAGTAAGATATTACACACATGAGCAGTGTGCATTATAGATGGTTATGAGACTATTAGTAGAGGATTTTATTGATGGCTAAATCATGGCTATAAGAAACTTGTCCTGTTGGATTCTATAACAATTGATTAACCTTTCATTAAAATATCTATTAAACATTTCTTAACCTGATATACATTTTTATAAACATATCCTTAATATAGCATGATCCAGAAAACTGCCAGCTAAATTCGGAAAAGTCAAATCCTGACTCCCATTGAAGTCAATGGGATTTTTTGTCATTGACTTCAATAGAGTGGGGATTTCACTCTTTTCCTCTCAGTGAACTTTTTCAAATATGCTTTTCCAACTTGAAACAGAAAACTCAGGCATCACATATATGACACAGGAAATGTAAATAAATGGCAACTCATTTCTGAACAAGAAAACACAAAATTAATTTTTAAAGAGATTAATTCTCAAGCAGAAGCTTATCAACAGGAGAATCAGAACATTAGCAAATCAAGTATGTATGATATACGAGACCTACTTTGCAGTAAACATTATTATCAGCAATGTCAATGTAGTTACAATGTGGATGTAGTTTACTTTTGCCTGGCACTAGCAATTTTTCTTGACAATTTTCAAGGAAGTTTTAGAATTTCATGGATTCTAGACTTCAGAAACTTTTAGAATGTTCTGAGTTCTGTGTTCTGTTTATTCAACACCAAGACGTGCATAAAAACTTAGATCATAGAGATCTACAATAGGTATCATCACAAATAATATAATCCATGGTATATTTACTGCAAGATATGTGCTTGTCAGCTGGTGGTGCCACAGTCATGCTGTACAAATATCATGAAATGATCACATTTTCCAGTGAATTCTCATCATCCTCTGAATCTCTCTGCAATTGTTCAACAGATCTCTTGCAAAACCATATTCATAGATCCATAGAGTTTAAATTTGGGGGTGGAGAGGAAGGAAATTGGACCATTAGCTCATCTAGTCTGAACTCCAATATATTACGGGCCATTAAATTTCATCTATTTATCCCTGTATTGAGCCCCAATAACTTTTGTTTGACAAAAACATATCTTCCAAAAGGGCATCTAGTCTTGATAGGAAGACCTCAGGAGATGATGAATCCACCACTACCATTGGTGGTCTGTTCCAAAGACCTATTTAGATAGCAATTAAATCACTACCCAGGAGTGCTGCCAACTCTCATGACCTTATTGTGAGTCTCTCCATATTTGTTATTTTTCTTAAAACCCTGGCTTCTGGAATCAGGGGATTGCATGAGAATTTCAGTTTTTATTTTAAAATGGGAGTAAGTTTCTAGTTCTCACTGTTGCCAGAAGAAATCATGAAAACAGGAAGGAAGCATATCCTAAAGATTCAAAAGCTAGAAGACAAATAAAATGGCCATTTTTTTAAAAAAAATCTCATTATCTGAAGATGTATGCATATATGTTTTGTGTGCATGCCATTTAAAAGCCCAGTGAAAATTCAGGTTATGTATTTGTCTTGAAATAGTCCTTTACTGAAATGAAGGTCAAAATTCAAACACAGAGGTAAAGATTTTCAAGCTAAATATACATGGCAGAAAATGACCCTATTTAGGAGAAAATAAACTAGTCAAACTAAATCTGGACTTTGAAAACAACTTTTTCAAGTTAGACATATTCTGTAAATGTGGCAGTTGTTTGATTTGAGACACCTAAAGAGTATTTGAATATTTCTCCCATTACAGCAGATTCCGGCTCAACACCAAGGAAGGTGATATCATTCCTCCTGACAGATTGTATAGTGAAAACAGAAGTCTGAATCAAGATCCATGCCAATGCAGCTGGAAGCCTTTGTAGCAGAGTAAATATTCCCACATTGAGCCATGAGTAGAGAATGGACTTTTAGGTGTTGCTGGAAGACTCAAAACAAGCAGACAAATTAATTTGAGTCAGGGCTCCATGGTACAGAATGGAAGGTCGAAGAGTTAATACATTTCTATGAGAGAAACTATGTCAAGTTTTTTTTTCTTTTTTTTAAATACAACACTAATTATACTTCTGTGAGCTTTTCATCTAGTGATCTCAGACAGTCTTTGACACACTAAGGGTACGTCTATACCCAGCCGCTAGTTCGGCGGCTGGCAATCGAACTTCTGGGTTCGACTTATCGCGTCTTGTCTGGACGCGATAAGTCGAACCCGGAAGTGCTCGCCGTCGACTGCGGTACTCCAGCTCGGCGAGAGGGGTACCGCGGAGTCGACGGGGGAGCCTGCCTGCTGCGTGTGGACCGAGGTAAGTTCGAACTAAGGTACTTTGAACTTCAGCTATGTTATTCACGTAGCTGAAGTTGCGTACCTTAGTTCGATTTGGGGGTTTAGTGTAGACCAAGCCTGAGGAATTAAACCTTACAACACATATCTTTTTGGGGCAGGTATTATCTCCACTTTACAAATGGAGAAACTGAGGCCCAGGAAGGTTAAGTGATGCACACAAGGAAACACTACAATCTGAGCTGGAAGTAGAACCCAGATCTGATTTGCAGGTTTCCTGTGCTTTAACCACTGACTGTGCGTTCATTCCTTGTACATCTTATTCATTTCAGGGCCAGATTTTCTCCATTGGTGTGCCTGAGAGAGGGCTCAAGGAGCAAATTTGTGCCCTGTGCGGCAGCTGGGCACAAATGCATTTTCTGTACTTCTCAGGATGCAAGGACTGCTCCTTCCATGTATCACCTGGGCAGAAGACACGGGCAGAGATGATGCAGGGCCATGGCCCTGTCCCCCTATGAAAGGGCTAGTGGACCATTCTGTACCTGCTGAGGGGGCAATATAAGCATGTGCACCACCTTGCCTACTAGAGAGCCCTAAGAGGAACTCTTCTTGCAGCAGCTTCTGGGAAGTGAGACTCTAAATGCCCCCCTTGCCAGATGGAGGGAGGACTAGATGAAGGCATTTCTTCCCTATACCTATATACATATACACACACACGCACACTGATTCCTAAAAAGAGCAGGCCCTGGTCAAGAGCAGGCCCTTCTGTAATCCTCTCTCTCTGATTAAATGCTAATTGCAAAGGTGACTCCAATCTCTGGGGAAAGGTTGACTAGTTTTATAGAATGCAACACATTGAGACAAAGATTATTATAACCTGCAATGCTGCGGTTGCTTTTTGACAAGAGAAGGCAGGTTCTGGAGCGTATTGAGTCTATATAATGAGATACCAAAACAGTCTTGTCTGCTCAAAGTCCTGGGGCATGTTGCATTTGGGTAATTGTTAATTGGGCTGCACTCTTGAAGTGCCATTGTCACAAATAGATGTGCATTTCTCATCTCCATTTTTGAGTTTGGAAAGTTAGCTACCTGCTTACAGTTCATCTTTTGGCTCCGAGGCAGAACAAATCAATTCCTGGGGATCTCTTTAGGAGGGCGTGACTGTTTTTTTTTTTTTTAAATTACAACAATACAGCTGACATGACTGTTATTGGAACACCATGCCTGTTTTTGTTGTATTTATTTATTTTAATTTGGATTTTTTTGTTGTTGTTTTAAATGTGCCCAGCTGTAGACACAAAGTGTACTGGGAAAAAGGATGGAGTTGGTCTCTGGATCCCATATGGTATAAATCAAGTTCAGACAGTTCCCCTATAAATGCTCCTTGGTTCTTAGGTGTAAAACAATATTCTAATCCAGATGGTGGGATTGTTTAACCCCTGTTGTGGCAGAGGTTTGCAAGTTGTAAGCCTTGTCCCAGCAGGTGCAGATTCATCCTCTGGCAGGAGTATTTACTTTGCTAACCCTCAGAAATTCTGTCAGTGAGGAGGGAGGGGGAAGAGTTAAATTCTGCCCAAGGTTCCACAGGAGCCTTCCAATGGAGGCTGTCCAACAAATCAGCTCGACCAGTTCATCCCCAACCACCTACTGCTGCTCTTCCCACAACAAACTTTGGACCTCCTGGTGGAGCAAGGATTGTGAGTGCTTTGTGCCTCTGAGACTCCTGTACTGGGCAGACGTTCCTCAGCAGGGCTGCTTGTGCACTGGTCTACACCAACTCTGGATGAATCAAGTCTGGAGCTCTCTAATGGCTTTCCTTTCATGACACATATTTAGTTGTATATATAAACCAGACATTCTCTTTCCCTGTGGGCAAGGGTGGAACTGGTTAATCCTTAATATATTCTTCCAAAGATCCTATTACTGTTTGTGGCCATTCTGTATAAACTCCCTTTGGAGAAGATGATTAAATGTGATAATAATGTAATTTATTTGACTAGGTAAAAAGCCTAGAGTTATATAAATACTATCGCTCGTTGACAGTGATTAGGGTGGAGGTGGATTTTTCATTGTTAGATTTTATTGTTTCAGTGTGGATTTTTCAATGTGTTATTTCTCTGACCTCAATTCCATTCAACGTTTGCATGAATCCAATTCATCCGGCAGCTACTGATTGGCTTGGTTGACTGAGAACAGATAAATGAGCAGTTGAGGGCAGATTTCCAGTATGGGCGACTCCTTACAACCTACTTCCCAGATACTGTGGCACCCTTACTCTTTCCTGCAGCGTAGGGATCTGGAAAGGATATGGCCAGTGCACATGAAGCTCCGTGATTCCCCTACCCTAAAGAGCTGTTATAAGATGAGGCTGAGAGACTGCTGTAAAATACACTTAGGACAGAGATGGAGGAAATCTAGGAGTAGGATTGGAGAGCTGCATACAGCTTCTTTGCCGCTCCCCATCAGCTGTGCCAGCCCTTACTGGACACTGGTAAGGTTCCAGCCCTGGATGTGGATGTACTTCCATTATTTGAGATGTGTATCCTTAAATGTCTAAACTCCAAAATGGGTCAGATTTTGTCTCCATGTTCTGCACATAGCAGGATCCCTCTGTGAGCATATCTCCTCCCTCTCAACTAAGATATTGTGTGTTGTTGGGTCAGCCTCCTCAAGAGCACAATCTCACCCTTCCCAGTATCTACACTATGTGGGCTGCAAGCTGCGATGGGATGCACATCTTCTGCTATTAGTCCTGCTGAGATTATCTGGGAAAAGTAATGTGTCCAGTAATATTGCCTTCCCCACTGAGACCCCTTAATAGCATGGAACCTGCTGGAGTTGGGTGGGAGAAAAACAGGACCCAGGAGCAGTTGTGTTTCAGGAGAGTCCCTGGTACCACAGCTCTGTTGAAGCCGCATCACCAGGGAGTAAGCTGAGGGGACAGTAGGAAATCAGAACAAGTGCAGACATGATCCTATGAGTGAATGACTCCAACCTCCTGCAGATCCCTGGGCTCCTTATAAGATGGAGCAGGAAGAGGTTGAGGGAGATCACAGTTCCCAAAATTCCCTAAATTCAAGCTTCATATTAACCAGTTTTATAACAGTAGAGAACCCTTGGTCTTCATGGCATGTGAAACATCCAAATTAGCAAGTATTTCTTATTGTCTTGGTGCTAGGACTTTTCTTCTGGGATCAGTACTCTGAGAGGTGCACATGCTGATGGTTGTTAGTCTGTGCTCACAGCTGCAACTTAGGTTGGAGAATTTTTCTCTTTGCCAAACTATCACTGTTTCATAATTATGTGACATGCTCAATAATTCACAAAGCTCTCCAGGGAAGGGACCCTTTGAGCAATGCCCAACACAATGAGGCCCCAATCCTGAGTGGTGCCTTTGTGCACTGCCATACTACAAATGATTGATAATTACAAAGAACAAAGCTACAGTATAGAAAAGCGATAAGAACATACCAATCCATTGAAATAGCTGAATTGTTGGTTGTTTTGAAAGTGTTTATTACTTTATTGAGTTTGATCAAATCATTATCAACTCAATAGACTAACCAATTGCCTTGGAGAAAACAACTTTTCATTTCCTTTGAGGGCCAAATTGTGATACCGTTACTCACATTGAATAATAAGCTATGTGTAGTCCTATTGAAGTTACTCCATAAATAGTGCCATTAAAGGTGCTACTTATTGTAAGTAAGGTATCACAATCTGGACCTGAATAAATTTGTAGCCAAATGTTTTATAAATAGCTCTAAAAGTTTTTTGATGTTTTGAAATGTTTGAACTTTTTTGTCCAAGTAACTACCTCCAGTCTAATTAAGGGTCCAGTTTTGGACATATTGAGTAAAACCTTTACTACACAAACATTCCCATTGAAATCATTGACTCATCATAGAATCATTGAGTATAAGGCCAGAAGGTACAACCAGATCATCTAGTCTGACCTCCTGTATGTCACAAGCCACCAACACCACCCAACCATCCACACAATAAAGCCAATAGACACAAGTATTCTAATATACCTAAACCTATTACATATAAACATAAATAGGATGGTTTCTCTGTGTGAGTAAGGATAGCAAAATCTGGCCTATAGAATTTAGGGCCTTTTTAAGGTTTTCCCATCCCTACCATCTAACCCCATTGGATTCATGTGAGATACATAAATTATAGAGCCTGGAAAAGTGATTTTGCTTGCAGAGGTTGTGGTTTTGCAAGAAAATATACATACAGCACAAACCTTTCACTGGTCATCACCACAAATCCCCAGCTTGCCTAGACTTTATAGACCTCTTCATACAGTTCATTCTAGTTAACAACAACCTTAGCAACGTTTTTTTTGTATAAAGCAAATCTTCAACAACAACCAAATTATAGTGTGACAGGACTCACTAGTTATGCCATCCATCTAAAGTAACTGCTATAAACAGTAACAGTTAGCTATAAAACAAGCATAGACAGATTCTCTGTGAAGCTACTTCACAGCTTACCTAAATCTGAACACTGAACAACCCGAAGATGGCACTGACAGCGGAATGGACATACTGCTCCAGATGGGTATACTTCAGGACGGTCTGTCGGAAGATCAGCAGATCCTTCGTCTTCTAGCATAAACTCAAATAAGCCTTTTTGGTGGAATGGTTTGGCCCAGCATACTGGCAGAAGCAGGAGGAAGAAGACAGCCACCTTCATGGTTTACTTCATTTACTCAGAACAGAACCAGTGAACCTAGGAGTCAAATCAAAGGTTTAAAGAATGGTAGCATACTATCAT